TATGGAGGATGGCTTCCTCCTCGAAACCAAGCGGAGTGGTAGTTTGGGAGTGGGAAGAAAGGCCAGGCCTTTGGATTCCTTACGAAGTGGACGTTGTCCGGTTCTTGGAAGAAAGTTACTTGAAACGTAGGGTGTCCCGGAACTCCACAGTGAATTTGGGACAGAGTAATCCTAAGTTAAACTACTATGAAGTTGATCTTGTCAATATGGAGCAACTGAATGTTAGATCAGGTAGAGGATCGTGTATTTTTCTTCTTATTTTAATGTTTCTTTGATTTATAAGTTGACGTATTACTTCTGAAAGCAATGCAAGTGGAAACCGGAAGTAGAACGGGGAAGTTAATCAACAACTTTTTTACAACAACTGCAGAAATTCTCGCGCTCTCATTGGCTAATTTTCATTGTTAATAATCGGATAGACACATGAATTCATAATTTATGCAATGAGCAAGAGTGGACAACTTGACAATTTGACAATTTGTTAAAAAAAAAAAAAAAAAACATATTGACATCAGTCAAATTTCCATGCGTCTGTTTGGAAACAAACTCACAGCACAAGGCCAGGGCAAAAACCCCAAATATCATTGGCTAATGGAAACCAGGAAAATAAAACCAGGGGAATAAAATACACATCCCTTACAAATTAATCTTAATCTTTTGAAGATGGTCTAGTCAGACTAATCAGGGCATATCTAATCGATATATTCGATACTCAATGAAAACTGATTGTATTCAATACTAATCAATCAATTAATATCAAAAATTGATAGAAATCAACTGATTGGTCGCATTCTTCTGATTATCGATTTTGATTGATTTTTGTATTAAGCTATTGATTTTATAGATAATAAGCTGCAATCAAGTGCAGAGGACAGGATGCAAAACCATACCCCTTTCCTCAGTTGACCATCTCTTTAAATAATTATTATTGACTTGAAATGGACGAAGATCGTGTCAATACATCCACTTTACTGTTCAGTTGTAGGAGGGGGACATTGGGCCTTGTGGTATTGCGGCATTTCAGTAATTTTAATCTCCAAATGCGATATTGCGTATTCTCTGAAAGTGCGAGATGTGGTGTTTTAGCATTTTGGACGCTAATAAATATTATCCTGCAAGTCTTCCAACATTTTTCAAGCCTTTTCCAGTTTCCAATTAGTCATTCCCAATAAAACTTAGCTCTCCTGACAACAGAAAACTGTAATTCCTTATGTCGCAATCAGAAAAGGGTATTAAGTTATTTTTTGTTAATTAGTAGCCAACACACCAATGGATGTTACTTATTTTAACAGTATTTTGTGTAAATAAAAAAATTATTTGACTTAGCATTCATTAATAAATAATCTAAATTGCTATATTTGCTCTAAACTTAACATACAGAGTAGTGGTTTCAGTATGACATCAAGTTTCTACTCAGTATTGGAGTATTGCAGTATTTGGCGATTTTTTGCCAATGTTTTGGGCAATATTGCAGTATTTGCCAGTTTATTTTACGGTATTTTGGTGTTTAGAACCCTCCAATGTCCCCCTCTTATAATGTCTCATGGGGCTGATCCTTGTCAGAATGGATGACAACTAACATCAGGTAACATTAGAGAAATGACTTAGTTTTTGTCTTCAAAGTTGACTCAATGGTAAGCTGAAGGCAGGTTTTGACGAATAGTGTTCACCACTTTTTGGATTAATCTACAACTCCCATCGATTGTCATCAACTACATAAAAAAATTGTGATTATCAATTTCAATGGATTAAAATGACTAATCAATCGAAAAATATTGAGTATTATCAATGAATCGGTTAGCTTTCCGATGATTGATTTCCACTCACAAGATAAGATACACCCTGAACTATTGCAGCTCTGTCTGTTTGTGCTGTGTGTTCAGTGAGTGGATCTCACGGTCAAATGCACTTTTTTCATTTGGTGAACTTAATTTTTTTGTTCAATTTTTTTTCCGATTTCAGGGATGTTACGAAAGGTTCAGAGGAAAGTTTACTCAAGCAACTCTGTTCCGGGACAAGGAGTAAGATGGGAGTGGTATTGCGATGTGAGGTGGATGGCATATGACATCCCTACATCTGAAGTTATTGAAAAACAGAACAGTTCTGGAAGTGGAGGCGTACTGGATTTAACCAATACACCAGTGGCTATTCCAAATGTTTTGAATTTTCCTCTCATGGTACAGATAAATAAGCATACAGGTTTTCAACGGCGTGTGCAAAGATTGACAGGTCAGAGGTACCCTTCGAATGCAAAGACCCCAAATGTTGCTGGAGCATCACCAAAAAGGGGTCATGTCATCTCAAGTACTCATAATGGTCGCATGGTTTCTGGTCACACCAAAGCTAAAAGTACAGCTACTCCAAGGAAAGACACAAAACCTGCCAGCATTGTAAAGAAAACAAAGAAGGCTAAAGTGGAACATGCCCAAGGTACTGAAGAATTTAAACCAGAAATTTCCAAGATGGTAGCAAGGAGGGGTTGTGATCCATTTTCACACATGAATTTAAACCCATTTCGTGCATCACATATACTTTAGGATTGCTGCCTTGATTTACCTCAACATTCATGGTTGCCACAGACATCACTTTTCAAAATTCCCTGACTTTTCCCTGAAAAAAATTCAATATCCCAAACCAAATAAATACAAAATATGAGATCTAGTAGTGGCTTCTGGCCTCAACTTGCAGCTGTCAAATTTTCTTTCTTCATTTAAGGAAAAGTATCTTTGAGATCACAGTGACCCCAAATTGTTTCTTCCAGCCTTCAATGGTATTAAATCAACCATGTTAAATTATTTCAATTTTCCCTGACTTTTCTTAACAATATCAATTTCCCTTGACTCAAAATAAAATTCCCTGACTTTTCCCTGACGTTGAAAAATTTATTTCCCTTACCATTTCCTGATCTGTGGCAACCCTGACATTGAGAGAAATGTGAAGAAATTAGTCAGGAGAATTAAACTGAAAATAGATTTTTTTTTTTTTACTTTGGAGCTGTAGGTGCCACTGGCGGTGATCCTCTGTCTGAATTCTGCAATGACTTGGAGAAAGCTCCAGATGAGGTACACGTACTATAGCTTGACATACTTACATGTATAAGGATAATATGTTTTTTCTTTTGTTTCTCTGCATGTCAAGACTGGCATTCTAGGCTGCCGGCAGTCTGTTTTTCTCTTGAAATTCAGTAGAGGTTATCAGGGTGAGATGAAATTCAAAAACCCTGCTTGCCCTTTGGGCAAGCTGTAATTTCATCTTACTAGCCCAAATCTCTGAGGCGCTTGCCCGAAATTATTTTATTTGGTATCAGCAAATCAATTTAATATGGAAAAATAATGTTAATTAATAATACGGAGGTTAGATGAACTAATTCTCTTTGATTTCCCTTTTGAATGAAACCTTATACAATAAAACATTTGGAACTCTCAATGAGTGCTTCCAGAAAATATCCATACCCCCCATGGAGGGTTTTCCAGTTTGACACCAACCCCCTGGANCCCCCCCCATCCCCTGGAATTTCCATGATTATCTACTTGGGTCCCCCAACACCATGTAAATTCCATATCCATAAATAACTTAAATGACTTAAGTCATTTATTTTAATCTTCTAGGTACTGTTATAGAATTTAGCCACAGCTATTCATGGTTATGTTGTGGACAAAGACGCAACACAGCATATTTTTTCACAAACAATTGTTAACCAGGGTCAGAAATTGCGCTTTCCTGGTCGCTAATGCGACTAAAAACTTTGCTCTGGCGATCAGAATTTCATAACTGGTCGCCAGTGGGTGATTAGCTAGTTCATGCCATGATAATTATACAAACAATAACTTTGATTTTCAACCAAATCAATCAAAATAAAATTCAAAGCCGACCACCAATTGGTCACTTACTTTTTACCTTTCCGCTACTTTTGAAGTATAAAACTGATTTTCCTGTTATTATAAATCTACCACAACGTTTCACAGCTATGATCAGTACGAAGCTTTGCCGCCATGTTTTTTCAGCGGTTTCCCATGACAAATGTATTGCGGGCGCAAGAGGCCACGTGCGTTCTTTATTTATTCACGCGATGTGGTGTCCAAAGATGTTCTGAACTCTTTCCATAATTTATTACAAAGTGGAGATGGAACATCCGCGATGAAATTAGTTAAAGATTTAGACATTCTTTGGGCATCAAAAGGTGGAAATGAAGATCTGTTAATGTGGTCAAAAGATGATTTCAGCACTGGTTTGATTCC